AACCAATCATGAATGATGATTAGTAAAGCAGGTGAGACATTTCAGCTTGTGCACTCTTGTTAACACAAAAACTATATAGACTGCCGCTAGAAAATGAATGGGCAATGCATGTTTGGTACGGACAAAATTCCTCCTTTTTACCATACAAGGCTGCGTATTTATCTCGGGTGGGGGTGGGGGAGGGGGCACTTCCTATATTCAAGGTGATGGGACGTGCCGCTGGAATAGGTCACCTTTTCAAGCTTGAAAATATGTGAAAAGGTCGGGGAAAACTATCAAAAATATATGAAAAGGTCAATAAAGTTTCCATAACTTCTTCGTCTGTCATCTTTCTTGGTGTTCCCGGGTGTGATTTTATCAACCAAATTTTCTCTTTTTTAACACTTTGGTATTCTAGTCTTACATTACACTACATGAAACCCAAGCACTATAGGGAAAAGGTTACATTTTTACCTACGCAATATATGAAAAGGTATACATTTTTGAAATATAAATTTTTGAAAAAGGTGGGCCCCAGCGGCACCCCCTATCAATTAAGTATTGAAGTGCCCCCTCCTACCCCCCCCCCCCCCCCCCCCTATACCCTACGATATGAAAATAAGGAGATGTGGTATGATTGCCAATGAGACAACTAGCCACCAAAGTTCAAATTCAAAAGTCAATATTAAAAAAAATTGCATCTCCATATTATCATCATAGGCCGATAATTACGTTTCTTTGCAGCTAGCAGGTGGGTCAAACCAGTGTTCACACATCATTAAAAAAGTTGTCATGCATATTTCTTGCCGCAATGACACACTCCACTTTAATATTTTTAAATCAAGAACTTTCCTTATTAGCTTCCCTTTTGAAAAAAACGCATGTCAAAAAGTAAGACAGAAGTTAAAGTTTGCCAATTTCAACGACTATTATAGCATCCCTGTGTACTGGGCGGAGTTTTAAAATTACAATCCCAACTTTTCCTGAACCTAGTAAGTAGTATAGATTTTGTGTATATGTAATGTCTTTAACTGGTAGTGTTTGGAACTGCCCGGTAGACTGCGGATGTGTGTCCTAGGCAAAATCCCGACTTGGTCAAACCAAATATTTTGCGCCGCAAAGCATGTGGTATTGAGGGATAATAGCATATACCGATATATAAGGCCGGAATACTAGTAAGGTCCCGGTTGCTATTGACCAATTTTCATCTACATGATCAAAGGTTGAAAACTGCAAATTATTGAAATGTCTGGGTTTTTTTCTGCGTAAAACAAAAAATGTGTTGCTCGAGTTCCGTTAGTCTATTATAATAACTCATTCTTAATCAATTATTTTAGTTTTTACGCTGATATTTCCTCTTTCTTTTTTTTTTAATGCGAACTCTGTTGGCATATCGATAGATACAACAGAAAATAGAAAATTAACAAATAGCAAAATAAGTAAAAGGAAAATATTATAAATAGAAAACATTGGCCCCGAGGTCTCATGTTATAGTACTAGAGTTCCAAATTTCATAGAATCATGATACGAGAAAATTTGTTAGATATTTTCGTGCCTATTATTTGATAAAGTATATAAATCTTTAAATACAAATGTTATGTGTGACTGTCAAGTATTTAGTCTTTGTTTGAAAATTGTAATGTCCAAAAAAAATTTTGGAAAATAAAAAATACTTTACTATTATCAAAATTTTGCAGTGTTAAATTATTTCCCATACACCGGAATTGTTATGTTCAAAAATTTTGGGCAAATAAAAAATACGTAACTATATATATTATCAAAATTTTGCAGTGGGAAAATATTTCCCATACTCCGGAATTGTTATGTTCAAAAATTTTTGGCAAATAAAAAATACGTAACTATATATATTATCAAAATTTTGCAGTGGGAAAATATTTCACATACTCCGGAATAAGATCCTACCAATACTTGGAAATGAAGATATTTCAAGTAAAAAAGAGATTTATGACAGTAACAAAATGTTATAAAACGCCAAACAGATAAAACGGTTAAAAGCTCATTAGAGCTTATTGATGATCGGTTGTAAGGAACATTAATTAATTAATTAATTATGTTGACTCTGTTTGTATACTTTGCCAACTCTAAATAAAGCTTATTTATTATTTTTTATTTATTTATTATTTATAGCGTGCAGATGAACCCCGATGCCTTTATACTATAGCATACTACATGTATATGGGTTTTACTTGTTTTTGAAAGCCGAAAGGTGACATGCATGCAGTTGTTTACATCGCTATCCTTTGTTTACGGTTAAACATTGCGTCATTGGCAAAATATTTTCATATATATACTAATACATCTAAAAGACATCTTTTGATATATTCAACCAGTATTTAAATGAAAATAGAGTGTGAACGCATCCAAGGGGCGAACGTGTAGGATGAGAATGTATTTTTGGAGCGAACGCACCAGATACCGTCGTACAAGTCAATATTCATATTTTCTTTTTTTTAATGTTATGCTTTAATATATCATGTATAATTCTTTCCTTTTTATGTGAAAAATGAACAAACCACTCTGTAGTCCTGACCGTACGTATTTCCTGTTTTGTGGCTTTTGTAGAACGTTTTGCATGGGTTGTTGACATCGGGAAGGGGTGCTTTCATTCACGCCCGCGTTCCAATGTCGTCAAAACTATTTTTGAGAAAACCCCTCAAAGCGACCGTTTCCAAGGCGCTCGTCGTTAGTAACATGCGTTAAAATATGCGCACTGTTAAAGGGCCGAGCCACCTTAAGAGCACATGATGCCAGCCCTTGTTTTTAATGTTGTTCAGTCTGTAGTTTTCTACGCAGTGTTTTGTAGACTGTTGTTTGTCTTTTCGATGGTTTTTTTTTGCCAAAGCATTGTTTGTTTGTCTTCCACTAATTATGATTGGTATCTTCCATCTCTCTTTATGAGTTAGGATATTTCATTTTTTCAAAGGTTTTATAGACATTTTCTTTAAACTGCTTCAGATATCTCCAATTAGTTCTAATTCTATTGCAGCCATTGCAGTAAAACTTCTGTTTGGACTCAAAGGTTTTATTCAAGAGTTATAGCGTTTGGTCTTAGAAAATGAAGAATTTCTCTACTTTCTATATGCAAAAGTTTGCTTGTAACTTTCTATCTGGGACATTGTATTGGTTAATTAATACTAAAAGAATGCTTGTTATAATTATGAGTCAGTTTTTAGTCAGAAATATCTTAGCAAAATATTAATTATGCTATGGAAACATAATAAATTGTCATGAATTACATTAAATAGTTGTATTGAAAGAAATCATTATCGTACCTTTTTAAAAAAATTCGTAAGGGTTCCAAGGAACCCAGTGTCTCGCCTACTTTTGCTGTTAATCGCAGGCTCAACAAAAATGAGGAAAAAAAATAATAACAATATTACTTTCGATACAATCTTTTGATTGTAAGAAGCTTCTGTCCCAATTTGGTAAAAATCCAGGATAGTTTATGAATCTAATAAATGTTTTAAATCTTTAACTGCAGACTGTATGTATATATGTTAACTGGAAGAAAAACTAAGTCCATTTATAAGTAAAATACGGATAAACAGGTACAAAATGTTTTAAAGTTTCCTTCTAGATACTAGCTTTTGATCATAAACAAGCTTCTGACCAAGTTTGGTACAAATCCAGGATAGTTTAAGTTATTAAAATTTTAAAAACTTTAGCCACAGAGTGAATGTAATGTTAACTGGCAGAAAAACTAAGTCCATTTATAAGTTGAATACGGAAAAAATGGAATTTTATTTTTTGCAAATTTACTTCTGGATACTATCTCATGATCATAAACAAGCTTCTGTCCAAGTTAGGTACAAATCCAGGATAGTTTAAGAAAGTTATTAAAATTTTAAAAACTTTAACCACAGACTGAATGTCATGTTAACTGGCAGAAAAACTAAGTCCATTTATAAGTAAAATACGGAAAAATTGGAATTTTTTTTTACAAAATTTAATTCTGGATACTATCTTATGATCATAAACAAGCTTCTGTCCAAGTTTGGTAGAAATCCAGGATAGTTTAAGAAAGTTATTAAAATTTCAAAAACTTTAACCACAGAGTGAATATTTGTGGACGCTGCCGACGGAATGTAGGATCGCTATGTCTCGCTTTTTCGACAAAAGTCGAAGGCTCCACAAAAATTAACTATATTTTACCGCAGGTTTTTTCATTGCCTACCAGAGCATATAACTTTCTATCTAAATATGCAATATATTTTTGTTACTTTAAACCTCAATAGCAAGTTAATTTTGAGTCTGGATGGAATTGCAAAGTATTGCACAAAACAAAAAGACCTTGCTAGATATATGCTTTTCATCAAATACTAGTACTACAAAATGACAGTTATTTGAAACAACACATATATATCATCCATTGCATAAAGAAGAAATGTACACGCAACCAGAAAGAGTAGCAACATCCACATATGTTCAAATGTGCATGAGGGAGTTTAAACCTTAGTTTCTTAATAACTTCTTAATTTATTCGAGGAGATTTGTAGCTAGTAATGTGATAAATGATGTCACTACCGAAGCACTGATTACTGAGCTTATCATACTAACATTCCACAGGCAGCGGTAAATAAAATCTATTATTTCACTGGATGATTGTTAGACATCTTTTGTTTTTGGTCATACATAATTCTTGACAATAATGTGTGTTCTAAGCTATAAAGAAACAAGAATGTGTCCATAGTACACGGATGCCCACATCACTATCATTTTCTATGTTCAGTGTACCGTGAAATTGGGGTCAAAAAACTTATTTGGTATTAAAATTATAAAGATCAGATCATAGGGAACATGTGTTGTTCAAGTTGATTGGACTTCAACTTCATCAAAAACTAACTTGGCCAAAAACTTTAACTGAAGCAGGACAGACTGACGGACGGAACGATGGACGAACGGACTCAAAGACCAAAAAACATAATGCCCCTAGGTGGGGCATAAAAATAAAATAAAACTATTATTTTCATTCCTGCTTATTGATCTATATGATATATTACCTTTTGCTTTTTTGTCGTCAGCCTCATTGAGTTTTGTTACGACAAGATAAATTGCATCTTGTGATAAAAAAGTTTGATGTGTGTGGTAAAATTCTTCATCTCCTGCAAAATCCCACAATAATAATGTGGCATACTCCTCTCTGTCATGTAAATCAACATTATATTTAAGCATGGCTTCAATATCCATTTTTGCCTGTTCTAATGCTTGATTTCGTTGTTGCAAGGTTACTGGAGGTTCAACTTGAGATTCAGTGGTTACTTGAAGTTTTCTTTTTTTAGGCTGCTGGGTTACTGTCTCTGATTCCTCTGATTCATCGAAACTTGTTGATGGTGTGGTTTCCTTAACAGCTTTATGTGTTCCTTCTTCTACTGATGCTTCAATTGTTCCTTTGTATTGTTTCAAAAGTCTTGCATGAATTTCATTTTCTTCATTGTTTCCTATTATTTATATCAAATTACAATAATATTAAAGAAATGTGATAAATGTTAAGTTAGATCACATCATAAAATCAGCAATTAACAGTAACACAGTAAACTTTGCCATCCAATTATTTGTTCAACCATTAATTATCCAGTATAAATACACATATTTGTTTAGGGGCCAGTTGAGGGACGCCATCGGGTACGGGAGTTTCTCGGTGCATTGAAGACCCATTGGTGGCCTTCGGCTGTTGTCTGCTCTATGGTTGGGTTGTCTCTTTGACACATTCCCCATTTCCATTCTCAATTTTATTTTTACTTGTACAGTTATGACAATTGAAAAGGGAGCTTCTTTAGTTGGTTGTAATATTGATATAACAGATTTGATGAAAACCACAAAACTTGATGCATATTCTACACATACCTTAATACTATCAATATTTTGCTCAATAAAGTTTCAAACTACTATTGATGATAATATCAATATTCCCCAAAATTATAAAAAAAGCATGCATTAAGAATCATTATATTACCTTAGAAAATAAAACTGTTTTAATCACTATGAGACAGAGTGGTTAATATATAATTTTGAAGGCAAACAGTGAGTTGTAATTGTTTTCACCCTCATCCTTTGGTCTTTGGTGGAAAGCTGTCTCATGAGCAATCATGACACATTGTGTATCCATGTCTTCACATGTTAAAACAGCATTAGATACCAAATCCACATAAACTGTATTGATTTTGGAACTTTCAGAATTGATTTATACGCGTATATACCATATTTAAAAGTATATCAGTAGTACAAAAAGTCCACAGAAAACAATAGAAAAGGTGAACAATTTTCATGAAGTATCAACAATTTTACGACTGGAAAACTTCTAATTATCCGTCAACATAAGCTCTATTTAAAGAAGGCATGTGACAAAAAGGCAATTTAAATAGATAAATATAAAAAACACATGAAATAGTGTTATAATGATATTCCTCTTTTCTGTGTGATATCATATCAACGATAAAATCAACCTCATCTTTTTAATTAAAATTTAAATCAGGCAGGTGTTACAGGTTAAAGGGGATGAAGTAACTGAACATGATAAGCACATGCACAATCAAAATCTTGACTGAGGTCAAACCATGTGTCGCATGCATATGGATGCAAATGTGGTTGTAACAATAATGCAACAATGAACTTTTGGGGTCATATTTTGACAAAATCAAATCAAGCTTTAGTTATTTTGTTCATCTTTTCTGGTACTGTTTAAAAGCCTATAACATTAATGGTACCATTTCTATAATGTACCAGATCTGCACTTGTACCATAAATATCTCTTCACATAGTTTCTGACTGGATGAACTATTTATGAAAATTCTTGACCTGGATTAATTGAAATGTATCCTTGAATTGGATCTGGTAAGACCTATGCTTTGAAAACTGGAAATTGATAGATAGCCCCCTAAAAATCAAATAATATTGCTGAATAATAAGTTATGTAAACTAGAAAACAAAAACATTATAAATACTTTCTTAACATTGCTTAAGAATAGAGAAAGATTTGTTTTTAAGCTTATGCATCATACCATCTAATTTATTCCATATGCCATCATCAGACATTGCTTTGCATTTTATTGTGTGGATTTCTATTCCATTTGTACTAGTTACATCTGTATTCTCTTCAGAGAACAATCTTTTAATCAATGATGTCTTTCCTGCACCCTTTTTTCCAACTACTACTAAACGTATGTCTTTCTTTTTCTCAGAGCCTGACTCAAGTAATTTGAGGTACAAATCAATAGATCTTTTATCAGCCATTAATTTTATTTCAGTTGGAACCATATCACCTGCAACAATATTTTTTCATAAAGAGTTTTTCTATAAAGTAGAAGATCATAACTTTACTCTCTTGAATTAAGTATACAAATATAACTTTTTTGTGTGCCTGTTTTCACTGTATGTTAATATTTAATATTCAATTGCATTACATGTATGTTATTATAGTTTTGATTGACAGACAACAGTCATGATAAATTCCAAAATTATATTTTATTTATTTACCAATAAAATTCATTTTTTCATGACTGCATGTGCTTCCTTTGAGAACATCAGAACAATGCATAGGAAAACTAATGAAAAGCTTGATATGAACTGCTATATCATGATTGTAGCATAAACATCTCATTATCAAAATTGAATCCTTCTTTTGTCATTTTACAGTGTTGTAAAAGCATTGATCGTTTGTACATTTGTAGTACGAAATGTGCTTCGGTTGTCGCTTTAATACCCACATAGAAATACAGAAAGAAGCTATGAAAATATACTTGAAGAATCAACTCGCTATGATGCCAGAGTCTGTGCACAATTGTCTCGAATCAAAGAACCTTTGTGAGCACGCTCACATACCCCACACCCCAAAATTGTCACTGGGCAAACAAAATCTCACCCGATTCCTAAAACTCATAACTCCTACAAAAATCAACTGATAAAAATTTCCTGTGCATATGCACATATACATAGTATGTCCTAACTATCTACAAAGTTTCATGAAATTCTGTTGTGTGGTTTCAGAGGAGTTGCGATGATAAACTCTTACAGTAGTATATTTAGGCCAACATTCTAAGTTCACACAGGCATAACTCCTATAAAAACAAGAGTGCACACACTGAAATGTCTTGCCTCATTTACTGAAAATTGATTTAATGTTGATACTCCTAAATATAAAGCTTTACTACAAGTATCACATAAACTTACGATAATAAAAGAAAATGAGGTCAAGGTCAGATAAACCAAACAAGAAATACATCATGTACATGTACACCTCACAATCATTCCATACACGAAATATAACTGACCTATTGCTTATAGTTTCTAAGAAATAAACTTAACGAGGAAAACGTAGCATTGACCAGTGAATGATGAAAATGAGGTCAAGGTCAGATGAACCATAAAAGACAGACAAGTACACCTTACAGGCAATCTATGTATTACATACAGTTGACATATTGCTTATAGTTTCTAAGAAACAAACTTAACCATAAAAACTTAATATTGACCAATGAACCATGAAAATGAGGTCAAAGTCAGATGATATCTGCAAGACAGACATATACCTTACAATCATTCCATACACCAAATATAGTTGACCTATTGCTTGAAATATCCAAGAAAAAAACTTAACAATGAAAACTTAACATTGCCCTACTGAAAATGTCTATAGGATTCCACTGGATTTCCAGTGAAATTACACTGGTATTCAGTGGAAAAAAATATTCTGATGGAATCCCATTAGAGTTTCATCCAAAACATCTGGAATATTTTTCACACTGTAATTCCAATGGAAAATCAGTGAAATTTCTAATGAAACTTCCAAAGATTTTCCAATTAATTTCCAGTGGAATATTATTGTTTATATTTCAGTGGATTTTTGATTTAATGCAAATATACTTCCAGTGGGATTTTGGACTTCAGATATTTAAAGGCTCACTTCTAATTCAAATTTTTCAAATAAGTGCATGATTATTATATAATGGATTTAATTTGTAAATATATAATTTGCTGGCCTGATAAGAAATTAAATATTATAATACAAGAAGAGTGCACACGCTGAAATGTCTCGCCTTCTGTACTAATCATTGACATTATGTTGATAGTCCTAAATATAAAGCTTTATTACAACTGTCACATAAACTTAACATTAACCAAGTAAACTAAACATTGACCAATGAACCATGAAAATGAGGTCAAGGTCAGATGAACCATGCTAGGCAGGCATTTACAGCTAACAATTCTTCCATACAACAAATATAGTTGACCTATTGCTTATAGTTTAAGAAAAACAGACCAAAACACAAAAACTTAACACTGAGTAATGAACCTTGAAAATAAGGTCAAGGTCAAATAAAACCTGCATGAATGACATATAGATCATAAAATATTTCCATACACCAAATATAGTTGAACTATTGCATATAGTATTAGAAAAAAAGACCAAAACTCAAAAACTTAACTTTGACCACTGAACCATGAAAATGAGGTCAAGGCCAGATGACACCTGCCAGCTAGACATGTACGCCTTACAATCATTCCATACACCAAATATAGTAGACCTATTGCATACAGTATAAGAAAAACAGACCAAAACACAAAAACTTAACTATAACCACTGAACCATGAAAATGAGGTCAAGGTCAGATGACACCTGCCAGTTGGACATGTACACCTAACAGTCCTTCCATACACCGAATATACTAGACGTATTGCTTATAGTATCTGAGATATGGACTTGACCACCAAAACTTAACCTTGTTCACTGATCCATGAAATGAGGTCGAGGTCATGTGAAAACTGTCTGATGGGCATGAGGACCTTGCAAGGTACGCACATACCAAATATAGTTATCCTATTACTTATAATAAGAGAGAATTTAACATTACAAAAAATCTTAACTTTTTTTTCAAGTAGTCACTGAACCATGAAAATGAGGTCAAGGACATTGGACATGTGACTGACGGAAACTTCGTAACATGAGGCATCCATATACAAAGTATGAAGCATCCAGATCTTCTACCTTCTAAAATATAAAGCTTTTAAGAAGTTAGCTAACGCCGCCGCCGCCGCCGGATCACTATCCCTATGTCGAGCTTTCTGCGACAAAAGTCGCAGGCTCGACAAAAATGACAAAAACAATTAAGATTCTTTTTGAAAAATGTGCATTGCCCTTAAAAGGGCCGTTTTTAAACAGATCTGTTGCAGAAATTATCTTCAGTCTGTACCAATTGTTAGGATAACTCCGTGTTTTTTCTTCAAGTGACCGTACTGGCAACTGCCCTGAACTACAGTCTACATGTATACAATAATATAATTGTTTCTCCTTTGACTTCTTCATGTTCATTTACTGTTACTGGTCTACTGTTCTTTTGAGAAAAATAAAGTGAACGGCTTTCATTTTCCACATTGTTCTATAAACTGTTTCGGTATCTTAACTTTGTCAGTGTGATAAATTTTTCATCATTTTCATGTCCTGAACGCGAGTCATATCTGTATCTGTATGAATACGTTGTTGATACCAATACTGGCTTTAATACAACGGTTTGAGAGAGCGCCGCCGATTAATTGACGGGGCGTGAGAGCAGATTTGAAGCTCTCTACGCTTGATGCGCACACTACAGTGTCATCTAGCTGATTCCACGCGATCACTGTCTTTACAAAGAATGAGTTTGAATATTGTGGTGTTTTGCTTGATGGAATGTCAAAACACTTAAGAGTGATTTTTTACTTGCTTTTCCACAATATTTGTTGCGTGGTATTCTTCGAATTTCTTGACAGTTGTGGTTCTCTTCGGACGTGCTTTTTTGAGGAATTCGTCTGATTCAATAGCGAGAACCAGTCCCTCAACCACTTTGTACATAAATATTAACTTCTGGCTTGTTCGTCTTGTCTGGAGATCTTGTAGTTCCAGTTGGGCAAGCATTTTGGAGACACATCCGTCCTCTCTTGACTTGTAATCTCTGGTGATAAATCTTGCCGCTTGACGTTGTATCCTTTCAAGCTTATTTATGTAAGTTACCGTGTAGGGGTCCCATACTATGGCTCCATATTCCATCGTTGATCTGACGAGCGAGATGTAAGCTGTTTTTTTACAATCTTGTGGGCAGTATTTCAAGTTTCTTCTTAGAAAGCCTAGTGTTGAATTTATGTAAAATAGTTGCCGTCGAAGATGACAAAACTACAGTACAACTTAATCTATAGAAACGTTTCACATATAATGTAGTCCAATCAATTGTACGCCTTATGTCAAGTGTTTTGGCATAATTTGAACAGAAAATTCGTGAAACTGTAGTCTATAATGTTGTTTTTCAACACACATGTTTACATCCAAGGAGGCTGCCATTTTTTTCTACCAGACTATAAATATAACCGCTGATTTCATTGAATAACTCAATTACCGGGATTTCCGATCGACCAATCAGATCGTCGTTATTATTAATACATGGAATGGGTTCAAATTTGAAACTAAAAATGTTGTACGAGTATGTATCCTGTCCAGCTGTGGTTACATTAATCATGTTAATGATTAATTATACTCAACAAACTTCGATAAATAAAGAAATAGACATATAAACAGCAGAACATTTAGGCATGACATTAGCTGTTGAACCAAGAATTTACGATGAGACGATGTGCTGATGTAGGACAGACAGAAGATACAGGTAATTTTCATGAGATTTTACATTTTACTTGTTTTGGATCATGAATATTTTTAATTAAAATTAAAAAAAGAGTTATACACCCCCTTTAGTTTCATTCATGGGCTCCGTTAGTTCACACTTTTGGATGACCATTTGGTGTTCTAAAAAGGGGGAGGTGGAAATATATTCAATATTCAATTGCATTGTGTGCCTTCACAATCAAGGAAATGTTTACTACACAATGTCCAGCACATTCAACTTAAATTTGTCATGTTCTGATTTGGATGGACATGCAACACAAAACATCCATATAAACATTAAGCATGGCTAAGGTTGTGCAGCCTTTACGTAAATAAAATAAGCTTCTTAATTATATATGTACATTGTATGATAAATATCCGTAATATATGATGCATACAGGTCATGACCACAATTATAATTGATTGATAAATGTTTTTACAATTTTTTTTTTAGGTTGTCCATATACATGTATTGAAAGGGATTACTCATGGTGAAGGTACAAAGCTGCAAAAATGACGACTGTGCATCGATCAATATCCACTCAATAATATGAAACCACGATGAAAACAAACGAACCAGCAGCAGAAAAGCAATTTGAGTATAAGATTATTGAAAGGTATTAATTGAATTATTTTTTCATCCCCTTAACACTTGAAATAAACATACATCATTCACATCTATATGCTGTAAACACTTCTCAAAAACATTGATCTGATCATCATGCATAATGGCTAATCATGGCTATTGTGTGAATAAAATGAGGTGTCTGGTATGCTTCAACCAGATGGCAAACCAACAACAAACACAACACAAAAGGGAAAGATAATATGAGGCCAAATAAAAATATATGCGTGATTCCAATTACCTATAAAAAAGAAGATGTTGTATGATTGCCAATGAGACAACTCTCCACAAGAGACCAAATGACACAGAAATTACTGTAAATTCAGAAATTATTGCATGTATTTATTATTGCGATTTTTTAAGAACGGACAAAAATGCAAATTTAATTATTGCGACTTCGAAAAAAATCTGCATACAGGTTTATGTATCAGTTAACAGAATGCAACTTCTTATTATTGCAATACTTACCCAGTCGCATTAATAAATATCTCGCAATAATTTACAGTAACACCTATAGGTCACCGTACGGCCTTCAACAATGAGCAAAGCCCATACCGCATAGTCAGCTATAAAAGGCCCCGAAATGACAAATGTAAAACAATTCAAAAGAGAAAACTAATGGCCTAATTTATGTACAAAGAATGAACGAAAAACAAATATGTAACACATCAACAAACGACAACCACTGAATTATAGGCTCCTCAGTTGGGACAGTTGTCCCCCAAACCTAGGACAGTGGTGTAACAGTACAACATAAGAACGAACTTTAAAAATCAATTGAAAAAGGCTTAACTCATCAGATGGATACACATAGAAATACTACACAGAGTGGACATGGCCGGGTACACTACTTTTTAGTCTTAGCAATATCCTACCCTAAAGATGTTTTTGTCATTTTTCATTAAGCACTGTTAAAGTCAGAATGTTGCTCCCATACATTCAATGTAAAAAAAACAACATAAAATAAAAAAAATCCTTACCTACCTACCCTAATTTTTTTTTAGATGTAACAAACCATACATACTATTTTATTTGGCCTGAGAGAGACACCTGATCCATGAACTATAAAAGTCTATTTTGATAAAAGGAGATGTGACTGTGTTATACGTCTAAGAGACAGCAACCCAACAACTATAGCCAAAGATATCTAGAGAACACATAGTCTTTAACAATAGAAATACATGTGTCTAAATTGCCCTGAGTGTATAAATGTTGCGACTAAATTAAACAAACACTAACAAAATATGCCAGTAACATATATTTTTGAATAATTGCAGACTGAAACATGGTACTGTAATGTTATTTTAATTCAAAATTCTATGCATGTATGATTTTTTTTCTTTCAGATTAATCAATGAAGAATTAATGGAACAGGATTGGAATGCAGAAACTTTGGACTTAATTCATGAATAATATCAATTCATGATGAAGGAAACTGACCAAACTGACAAAGTATTTCATATGCATGTAAACTGGACATGTGTTTGTTTAATGCACAATAAACAAATTTGTAAAATTGAAAATTTAAACCATTTGTGAAAGATTTCAAGAGGACCAAAAGTTACCATGGACTTATGAATGATTTAACAATGAAAAATGATTTACATGTACAATTAAGTAAATACATCTTTAGCTAAAACATGATAATTTATCAACATATTATTTTAAAGAGGTTGATCTTTTTATTTAAAAGGTCTTAAATGTGGATAATGAATAAACTGTTGTGATTTCTTTAATTGCTTGACTTGCATTAAACTGGTTATTTTCTTATTTCAAGTTTTCTTATTAATTCATTCAAAAATAAGCGGTGCATGCAAAATGATATCTAACATTTCAGTGGAATTCTCAATTTCTGTTGAAATATCACTGGTTTTCATTGGTTTTAAATATTGTTACAATTTCCAATGGAATAACCACTGGTATCCCAGTTGAAAACAATAAATGTCCAGTGGGAAAAAAATGGTATTCCAACGAAGTTTTCACTGGTATTCCAATGGAATTTCCACTGTATTCCACTCGAGTATTAACCGGAATCCCACTGGATATTCCACTGATATACCAATGGAAAACAATGAATGTCCAATGAAAATCTCGACCAAATTTTCCAGTGGTAATACAATGGTATTCCAATGGAATTCTGATGGAACTCCACTGGTATTTTCAGTGAA